GGGGTGTGCTGCCCTGCTGTGGCCACATGCCTTAAGACTCTAGCTCAGCCACTAGGGTTATGATCCCCCTTGGCTGCCTCTGCCCAGGGTCCCCCCCCCCACACACACACAGTGGATCCTTCTCAGTGCACATGGCTCCAGATGGCTCTGTCCTCTGCCCCAGTCCCACCTCTGCTCTGCCTGAGCACTGCTGTTGCTCTGCCGCCATCTTAGCTCCCTGGGCTGCTTCTCTGGCTCTGCTCCCAGCACTGACCTGCTCCATGGGCTGCACCCTGGCCCCCTTGGCTCTGCTCCCAGCTCAGCTTGGGCCCCGGCTGTCCCTTTGCTCAGCTTTGCTGTTGCCGAGGCAGCTCCCACTCCCATGGAGGATGGGATCCGCCCCCTCATATCCTGACTCCTCATTGGTCTTCCTGCCTGTCCATGAGGCTGATCTGAAGCATTGGCCTCTCCCCGTTGGTCATGGGGCCTGTCAGTCACAAGGGCCTGGTTTTCTATTGACCCTACCTTTCGGTACTGGGGAGAGGCCAATCATACGTCCTCATTCAATTGTAGGACGTGCGCTCAGGGTCACCTTCCCTAAATTTGAAGCTAATAAGCCCAACCCACCACTGTGGGAAGTTAACAGAAGCCTTCAGTGCTCAGGCCAGTGAAGTTGGGGATGGAGTTTGCACACGTTCCATTCTCAGTTACAGGCTAGATGTGAGGCCCAATTCAGTGTGCCTGGAATTACGCATACAAAGCACCGGACACACAATGGTTTGGTTCATGCACCGAAGGACACAGCAGGTATGTCTACCCAGCAGCATTATTTCGAAATAACATAGCGTGTGCCTACACTGCAAGGCATTATTTCAAAATAATGTCAAGGTGGAGGACTTCTTACTCCAACTCCTGTAACTCTCATTTCACAAGGAGTAGGGAGAGCCAAAGGAAGAGTGTTCTTCCTTCCACTTCCTGCTGCGTAGACAGCACCAAAAGCCTAATTGAGCGATTTCGACTTCAGCAACGCAATTGATGTTTTTTTATTTTTGTTTGTTCATTTTTTTTTAATTTATCAACTCTAATTTTAAAATAAAGACAAATACCCAGAGCAGCCACTTCCTTCCCTTCTGACTCGGCAGAGACTCTTCTCATCTCCCACTGGGAATTCCCCTAATTAGTGTTCACAGCTACCCCTGCATAAAGAGCCCAGCGGCAGCCATGGAACACAGGCACTGCCCTGAATGTCTCCCGTCGCCAGCCTGTTTACACCCGGATGCCGTGTCTCCTGTAGATGCTAAGGGAAGCCCAGAGCTATGTTATAGACGGTGCAGTCCCCACGTCGGTGCGCGGCCTGGGATGTTGCTGTGGACACTGCGGTGAGAGAGGCGAGGGACACGGCTACCTGAGAGAATCCCAGGGAAGACACTTGCATCCCAGGATTCACAGGTACCGTTCCCTTGCTTAGAAGCTCTCCTCCTTGATCCCCTAGTGCATCGTGGGTGCAATGGGAGAGGGAGGCAGTCTCTGGTCCTTTTTTGCACTGCACAGACTTTAAACCCCCTAGGTCCCTTGTCGCAGGGGATGGATTTCCTCCATTGCCAAAGGTAAAAATGCCGTTTTTTCCTATATCTGCACTCTGGCTGACACCTCCAGCTCTGGGGTTGCTGGATTTCTGTGGGCCAGGGGATCTATCGGGGGAAAGGTGATAACAGCTGTACAATACAAAGCAAAAGTCATAGGCTGTAGCCCGTGGATTGCTCAGGCTCCATGGAGGGACTCTCCTTGGAGGAAGAATTAAACAAAGACCTTAGGTGCCAGCTGAGTGTTCATGCCCAGACACTGTCACCTTCTCCCCTCACATCTCTGACTGGTAACAGGGTGGCTGTTTCCTGACTTGTGTCTCTTGGAAAGCTGTCTGCAGAGGGATGTAAATGAGGCACTTAGAAAATGCAAATGAAGCGGGGATTTAACTATCCTGTGCTTCATTTGCATAATCGCATCATGGTGCTTTTTGCAAGTAAAACTGCGGTTCTTTTGAAAACAGCAGGTTTTTTCAAAAGATCCTGTAAACCTCATTAATGTCTAATGCAGGATTAGCCCTGGGTGACATTGAAAGCTTTGGAGCGTTGTGTTTTTTATAATACCATGTGTGAGGGCGCGTTGGGGTTTTCCCATCTCCTTCACCCCCGTAATGACACGAACAGACTCCACCAACCAGTAGAATAGAGGGAGTTTATTGCTTCTTCAGGATACAGCACAGCACAGATGTAATCTGGTTACAGGAACTGGGGCTAGGAGGCCTCAGTGTCCTCCCCTTGAGATGGGGGTTGGCTGGGCCCTACAATCCCAGCCCCCCCTCCCTAGCTCCTTCTCCCCTGCTTCCTAGACAGCAACTAAAGACCCGTCCCTTCCAGCCCTGCCCCCAGCCAGGGGCAGCATTCCACTTTCCACTTTCCTTTGTTCCTCTCCCTGGGAGGTAACCGGTCGAACAGGTACCTCCCTGTCCCATCAGCTACCCTGCTGGGCCATGGTACAGACAGTAACCTGTGGGGGTCACCCACAGCCCAAGCCTAGCAACCAGCAAGGTACCCACACTACGTCACAGAGCCCCAGGAGACACTGGGGAGTAATAACTAACTATAATGGCCCCAGCGAGAGGCTATTTCGAAAAAGGAGCAGTGGCGCGTCTACACACACCTCATTTGAAATAAGCATTACACCTCATAGAATGAGGTTTACAGATTTCGGAACAAGCCGTCTGAAAATGATTTCAAACTAACAGAATGGCTGTGTAAATGCTCACGTTGTTATTTTGAAATAACGTTAGTTATCTCAAAATAACGGTACATTGTAGACGGGCCCTGAGTGATGAAAACACATGTCCAGAGCAGGTTCTTCTCCATCCCATTCCTTGGTACCCCAACATTATCCACTGCTGTGACTGAGCAGGGGTTTCTGTCCAGTTGCTGGCAAAGATCCCCAAAGCTTTTCACCAAGGTCTGTTCTAACTGGGGGAGGAAGAAATGCATCTGTAATAACGTTATGGCTTCACATGTACTGTGACTGGCAATGCACACCTGTAATTCCACCCTCTTGTTATCTTACTCTCCCTGGACCCTAGAGACGGCAAATAACCAGTTTTGCAGTTCTTGCAGAACACTTTTCTGCACTGCAGAATCACAGTGTATATCACAAAATAGTCGCTAACTATATAATCACATACTTTTCTCAAGGGTGCCTATCACATAAAAGTACCTCAGTTCTCAGCCCCATGGGAACGTTGAGTGTGGCACTGGGCCAGCTCGCGGACACTCGGTAAACAACTGTAGTATAACTAGTGTAGGGAGTTGCCTGGTAAGTCTCACCAGGGACCTAGATCGAAGGGTGCCCTGGATTCCCCCAGCTAGAGTCACGTCCACTGTGGCCTGGTGCAAGGTGTCAGGAACGGGACTCCCCGCAGACTGAAGGGGTGTAAGCATTTCTAAGTGCCTATTGCTCTCTTATTCATTGCTCTGCCTGTGCTTATTGATGTGTCAATCTGCAGTAGCTGTGTAACCATAGAGCAGCATTAACCCTGTAATAGTAGTGACGTAGTGAGATTAATAAAAGCAACTATCTGTAATCGACTCTGTGTGAAGTGAATCCGTAATCCTGTTTGGCCATGGCCTTGTGAGTTGATAGGCCCCAACTCATTTTTTCCTGCCGGTGCCTATTAAAGTTTCCCAGACCATGACACATTATTGAGCGTGGAACTCCATGAAACATGGGAGACACATTAGAAAGTCCAGCTGTTCATCAATCATTTATCCGAATAAGGAAAATGTCACTTTTCATTGTGTGAAGAGCCCAATATGTTCCAACCATGACAATTACCAGTAGTGTCATCTGATGTGAACATTGTGTCTTTTTCCAGGTATTTGTCCTGAGACCATCATCCTAGACTCCAAGTACAAAAGTGGAAGTCGGGACAACCTACGATACATGCAAGAAACACTGTTGTCTCTCATACTTTGACCCATTTTATTGTCTTCAATGTCTGATTCCAACACAACCAATTCCATCAACCCCTCCATCTTCATCTTGCTGGGTTTTCCAGGCCTGGAGATGGCCCATGTCTGGATCTCCATCCCCTTCTGCATCATGTACATCCTAGCTGTCTTGGAGAACTTCACCATCCTGTTCATTGTGAAGATGGAATCGAGCCTCCATGTACCCATGTACTATTTCCTCTGCATGATGGCTGTCACCGACCTGGTCCTCTCTACAACCATCTTGCCCAAAATGCTGAGCATCTTCTGGTTCAATGCCAAGGAGATCGATTTCAGTGCCTGCCTCACCCAGCTCTATATCTTTCACTTTTTCTCAGCAACAGAGTCTGGGATCTTCGTGGCCATGGCTGTGGATCGCTTTGTGGCCATTTGTCATCCCCTGAGACATTCCACCATCCTGACAAACCCCGTGGTGAGTAAGATCTGCTTGGCCGTGGTGCTGCGCGGTGGCTTGATCACGCTGCCCATGCTCCTCCTTGCAAGACAGTGGTCATATTGCAGAACCAACATCATCCCCCAGCCTTACTGTGTGCATATGGCCGTGGTGGGGCTGGCCTGTGGTGACATCCGCCCCAGTAGTTACTACGGCCTCTTTGTGCTACTTTGTATGAGAGGCCTGGATGTGATTTTTATTGTTATGTCCTACACCCAGATCCTCAGGGCCATCGTCAGCCTTCCCACCAAGGATGCCCGGCTCAAGACTTTTGGGACCTGCACCTCCCACCTCTGTTCCATTTTAGTGTTTTACATCCCAAGCCTCTTCTTCGCCCTCATGTCTCGCTTTGACCCGAAGAGGCCTCACCCTCTCCATGATCTCATTAATCACATGTACTACATGATGCCCCCCATGCTCAACCCCATCATCTACGGGGTGAGGACCAAACAGATCCGGGACAGGCTGCTGCAGCTGTTTAATCATAAAGGCTCCTGAGGTTTTCTCCTGGGGCTCTGGCTCACAGACCAAGGTCTATTAAGAGCTGGCTGGTGACATAGTACTGGACCCTCTGCACTGAATCACCTTCTGGCCCAACAGAGAGTTATTAAATCCATTCCTGATTGTACTTTGCTCTGTCACTGAGAAGGTCTGGTGAATTGGTCTGAGCACAGCTCATTAATTCAGAGTGTTTTCCACCTTTCCACTTTCTGGTAACAGAACCCATGAGGAATGGAGTCTTCCCTGCCTATTCTCACAAAGAAAAGCCTACAGCCACACTTTTTGCTCCAAGATAGCATAGTGGTTTGAGCATTGGCCTCCTAAACCTAGGGTTAAGAGCTCAATCCTTGCAGAGGCCATTTGGGGCAAAAGAATTTTGGGGGTGGTACATGGTCCTTCTGTGAAGGCAGGGGACTGGACTTGATGACTTCTCAAGGTACCTTCGAGTTCTAGGAGATAGCGTGATGACCTCTCAAGGTACCTTCCAGTTCTAGGAGATAGGCAATCTCCATTAACTTTTTAAATTTATTTAGATCCCTGCCATTTCTCCCTGCATCCCTCAAGTTCCCACCTCTGTTCTGACACTTTCCCCAAAGCCTCAGGTCTCACTCACCCGTCTCCTCCCCTTCTCCCACCACTCGCTGCCACAGACGGACAAGGAGCCTGTTGTGAGGACACATCTTGGGTTACCAGGCCAAGCAGGTGGGGGGGAGGGGGCGGGAGGCAGCACGATTTGTCTCTAGATGCCACTGAAGAGGGGCTGGCTTTGCTAACAAGCATGGTGTGTGGTGTAACAGAGATTGTGGCTTTTGTGCATCTTGTTCACTGGCCCACGTGAAGGCTGCAGTATTCTAGCATGAGTGGGATTGTCTGTCTGACAGGTTTGCAGCCTTTCAGTGGATTTTCATTACTGAGAATCGTATTGTGTCTAGTACACAAAGGTCTGCACTCCAACGTGCCATTGCTGGTCTATGCTCCCTTGCTGAACTCTCATGTGCACATTTCAACTTTTCACCCATCTCTGCATCCCTGCTTTGATTGTTTGTTCTTTCATTTTTCAAATATCCCGTTTTAGCCAGAAATCCATTTCTGGGGGGAGACAACCCATGCTCCTTACTGGACGCACACTGGGTACATTTTTATAAAAGCACCTTGTTCTGTTGCAGTCCAACATCCATTTCACCCATCTCTGCATCCCTGGTTCGATCGTTTGTTGTTGTTTTTTTCAACTATCCTGTTTTCAGCCACAAATCCATTTCTGGTGAGGGGGTGGGGGGAGCGACAACGATGCAACTTACTCGACTGACACCTGGTACAGTTTTATAAAAGCACCTTATTCTGCTACAGTCCAAGTATTCTTCATATTTAAAATTCTCATATTTAAAATTTGTATATATATTTGTATTTTTGTTTGTTTGTGCTTGTAAGCCGCCTTGAATATTTTAAATAGAAAGGTGGGGTGAAATATTTAAATAAATAATTCCTCCTGACAATGATGACTAATAAATCCAAGATAGAGCAGTTCTCATCTGTCCACTGAAAGCCAGGCCGGCACAGCTGAGAAGAAAACCATTGGGAACTGTGGATGCAGCATAGTAGGGAACTACTTAAAAGAAACACACATTTTGTTTCTGGATTCAATGTGAGTTTAAAACCCCACCAGAGGCCCTGTTAAATATCCTGCTCCGGCCTGACCCCAGCTGGGCTGTGAAGAAGGGGGTCTCTCCCTCTGTGCTGGCAGCAGAGTCCCTATTGCCCAGGGTGGCATCTGGGACACTGAGGAGTAAGGAGGCAGAAATGTTCCTGGTTCATGGAGTTTGTGGGGGACTCTGGCGTCCCCACCTCCCTAGTTCCTGTGAATATGGGGGTTTCTCTCCCACACCAGCTGCCACCCTTCAAACTGGGAAGCCCGGGTATCTCTCACCCTCCTGGGCACGGAGCCAGCAGCAGAGTCTCCAGAATTTGAGGAGGAACCTGGCATCCCGACCACATACGAAAGCAGAAGAGCACCAGGCATGGGGCCAGCAGCTGGGATCCTGGCCAGGTGGGGAGACACTGAGGCAGAAGAGCCCCAGGGACACAGCGGCTGGTAGCTGGAACTCAGCACACAGGGCAGCAACGGGTTCCGCAGCCACTGGGGCAGAGAGAAGAGGGCCTGGTGTACAGGGCCATTCCCACATCAACAATTACTGCGATGTCGTCTCCCTTCTCCACTGTGACAGCCACCGTGCTGGGAAGGAGGGCTAGGTCTCTTCCCCTCTCCCCCAACCTCATGGCCCTGATGTCTAGTCTTAACCCAAAGACTTTCAACAGGTTTTTCTCCAGTTTAATATTTCAGCTCTCAAAATGTACCCTGTGTTCTTACCTATGATGCAACTTCTTCACAGTTTAATATTTCAGCTCTCAAAATGTATCCTGTGTTCTTACATATGATGCAACTTCTTCACTGTTTCTCCTCCACTTGTGCTTCTTGAATGGTTTATACGCATCCATGAGAGTGCTCCAGTCCTGTGAGTTACCCCATCCAGTCTCCGTTATTCCAATCATATCACTTTACTTTCTGCTACGACTTCCATTTCTTCCTGTTTGTTTCCCAGGCTTCTTATATTCATATAGAATATATGATTTAGTTGGAATTGGAAGATATGATTTATTTGGGTTGATTTAGTTGGAATTGGTCCTGCCTAGAGCAGGGGGCTGGACTTGATGACCTTCTGAGGTCTCTTCCAGTTCTATGATTCTATGATTCTATAAGCAGGCATCAAAGATAACAAACCGACTGCCCTATTTTCTCAGTGTAAATCGGGAGATTTCCTCTGTTATTCTCTTCACCTTTGTTTCCTCCCAAGGTATGTCTAGACTACATGCCTCTGCCAACAGAAGCATGTAAAATAGGCTACCCAACATAGTCAATGAAGCGGATATTTAAATATCTCCAGCTTCATTAAAATAAAAATGTCCACCACGCTGTGCCGGCTCAGCTGATTGTCGGCACAGAGCAGCAGTCAAGACGTGGATCGGTTGACAAGGGAAGCCTCTTTCGACCGACCTGTAAACCTCGTTTCACAAGGCATAAGGGATCAGTTGAAAGAGGCTTCCCTTGTCAACCGATCCACGTCTTGACTGCTGCTCTGTGCCGACAATCAGCTGATTGGTGCAGCGCAGTGGCCATTTTGATTTAAATGAAGCGGCGATTATTTAAATAGCAGCTTAATTTCCATTTGCTGTCCTGCCTAATCTACATGGCTCTGTATAGACAAACCCCCAGAGTCCCACTTCCCTGCTTATCTCAGAGCTTAGGCCACCATTCTCTGGAGAGCTTAGTTGAAAGCCTCCTTGCAAGGTTAGCAAGCCGGCATGTGAAGATGCTCTTCCCTCTCTATATTAGGTGGATCCCCTCTCTTCCTAGCAATCCTTGCTCCTGGAACAACATCCCAGGATCAAAGAATCCAAAGCTCTCTTTCCGACACCACCTGTAAAACCAGGCATGTAACCTCCACAATTTGATGGTCTTTACCTGGGCCATTTCCTTCAACAAAGAGGATGGATGTGGACATGTCTTGTGCCTCAAACACTATTATCCTTCCTCCCAGAGCCACACAGTCTGCAGTGACTTACTAAAGGCCATTCTTGACAGTATCATTGGTGCCCAGATGGAGTAGTATGAGGCAGGAGTCCCATGACTTGATCAGCCTCAGCAGACACCGTCACCATCCGAATTCTAGCTTGGGTGCAACACCTGGTAGAAACTGGACCTCTTGTCCTTTTGACATCTCTTCCATAGTATCAAGACCAGCTTGTACTTTCTCCAGGTGAATTCACTTCTATCCCCTAGGAGAAAGGAAAAGAATGTCACCCCCTGTGCAGGTCACAACTCCTGTTTGCACACTATCCAGATTGCCCTCTTTCTATGATCCTCTTCAGATGTTGTATTTACAGCTTACAGAAATATGAAAGGCATAAAAAACTCAGTGTGAACTCCCCCACCTCCGAGGCACACCGCCCAGGCAAACTCCCTCTTTTTGTCTGGCATTTGATAACTGGCTTCTTTTTTATAAAGCTCAGAGCAATTGGCCGGAATCAAAGCTTTCCCTTGAATCAACCACTCAGGGCCCATCTGGAACAAAGCCCCCCAATCCACACTTTTCAAACAAAGACACAGTCAGAGAGTCACACTTCCAGCCAACAAACACGTGGTCAAACGGCTCCACAACTAGCTCCAGTCAAACAATTGTCACAGCCGACAGATGACTGGAGAGTCACCTCACCAGCACACAACACAACCTCCCCAGCCTGAGCATGTACTGCCTGCCCTTACTGGAGTCCTGGGGCTCATAACTGACCGCTGCTCAGTCCTGACAAAGGGCTTGTACTCAGACTTTTTCTCTTCGTTCAGGCTTGACACCCTCCCTTGCTAATGCTTTGCTGGGACAGCTGCCCGTAGTCACAGGTTTTGGGCTGCCTGCCTGTTCCCACACTGTGAGTGACTGACTCCTAGCCATGTAGTGAGCTGGAGTGGCCTCCCACTTATGCAGAGGGCAGGGCCAGACAGAGGCATGGGCGAGCCTGATGGCAGCTGTAAAGGGTGTGTGTTGTCCCTTACAGCTGCCATTAGGCACCGCGTGCCTGGCTTCCGCAGCGCTGGCCCATCCGCAGCCTCATGGCGCTGGCCCGCCCGCATCCCTTTGGCACCGGCCAGCAACGCCCTTCCTTCTAAGGCCACGGGTCCCTACACAGCCCGTCACACAGACCAATAGCGACAACTGGGCTGTAGCCAGGCCGCGCATGCATCATGTGCCCCGGGGGTGGGCCTGCATACCCTCGGGAGGAGGGCCCGCTCCCCATGAACGGGCCTGCGCATGTGCCATGCACCCGGGGGTGGTGCTGCACGCACATGCCCAGGGCGTCAGAGTACCTCAGGCCGACCCTGGGAGAGGGTCCGGGACTATCTGTAGTTCACAGTACTTGGTGAAGAATGCAGGTGGCAATCTGAATTTTCCAATAAGGAGCAGTGTGCATACCACACTTGGGCTACGTCTACACTGGCATGATGTTCCGAAAATGTTTTTAAAGGAAAAGTTTTCCGTTAAAAGCATTTTCGGAAAAGCACGTCTAGATTGGCATGGATGCTTTTCCACAAAAGCACTTTTTGTGGAAAAGCATCCATGGCCAATCTAGACGCGGTTTTCCGCAAAAAAGCCCCGATTGCCATTTTCGCGATCAGGGCTTTTTTGTGGAAAACAGTACTGTGCTGTCTACACTGGCCCTTTTGCACAAAAGTCTTTTGGAAAAAGACTTTTGCCCAAATGGGAGCAGAATAGTATTTCCGGAAAAGCACTGACGATTTTATGAGATCGTCAGTGCTTTTCCAGAAATTCAAATGGCGAGTGTAGACAGGTGGCAAGTTTTTCCGCAAAAGCAGATGATTTTGTGGAAAAACTTGCCAGTCTAGACACAGCCTTAGGGTATGTTTTTACTACATGGCTCTGCTGACAGAGGCATGTAAATTAGACATACTGACAGAGTCAATGAAGTGGGGATTTAAATATCCCCTGCTTCATCAGTGCTGGGAGGAAGCAGGTAGCTGAAGTAAATGTGGTGACCCTCTCCCCATCCACGCTGCCCAAAATACTGGGCATCTTCTGGTTCAGTTCCAGGGAGATTGATTTCAATGCCTGCCTCACTCAGCTCTATTTTTTCACTGCTTCTCAGTGATGGAGTCCAGGATTTTGGTGGCCATGGCGTTGGATCACTACGTGGCCATCTGCCCTCCCCTGAGACATTCCACCATCCTGACATACCCCGTGGTGGCCAAGGTCTGTCTGGCCGTGGGGCTGCGTGATGGCTTCATCATACTGCCCTTTGTCCTCCTGGCAAGGCAGTGGTCATATTGTTGATTGAACATGGCCCCCCAGCCTTACTATGCATACATGGCTGTTGTGCAGCGGACCTGAAGCTATTACAGCACCAGTAATTACTACGACTTCTTTGTGCTATTCTGTTAATGGTCGTCAGAAAGACGACCAGGTGCCTCCTGGCATGCTGACACAGCCACTGCCACTTGCCTTCTTGCTCTCTGGGGCTTCCCACCGCCCATCCTGCTGTGCCAGCTCCCTGATCTCCCCTAGCCAAGGCACAAAGCTGAGATCCCTGCCTCCTCGAGAAGCAGCACAGACTCTGAATCTCTTCAGGTCCAAGGGGAGTGCAGTTTAGGGCCCAGCTTCCTGGGATCCCCCTCCCCAACTGGGATCGGACCCCAAAGAATTAGGTAAACCCCGTTTTACAACAAAAGAGGGAATGTGCCCACTGATGGCTCCCCCCGGTAACAATCATTTACACTGGGTTTGGCAGAATATAAAAGTGATTTTATTAGGTACAAGCAGTTGGATTGAAGTGGTGATAAGTGAGAACAGGCAGAGCGAAGTAGGTTACAAATCAAAAGGAACCAAAATGCTTGGCTAATTCAACACTGAAACCTCAGCACAAACTTTTTCAAACTCACCCTAAAACCTCTTATCCAGCCACCCTGAGGACTTTGGCTCCTTTCTTCAGGTACAGCCCAGTCAAAAGAGCTAGACTCCTCCTTTTCTGTTCTTTTGAAAGATTTCCCTTATTGTATGGGAGTCACCTGGCCACTCCCTGCCAACACGGCTAAGCCATAAGGAGAAAGGCTATTTGTGTATGATTGCCCAGACAATGGGGACCCACTTGGTGGCTTTCCATTTACACGTTTAAGAAACATAAAGCATTCCCTACTCTCTATGTGTAATTTTACACACCAAAAAAAACCTCTTATCCAGCCACCCTGAGGACTTTGGCTCCTTTCTTCAGGTACAGCCCAGTCAAAAGAGCTAGACTCCTCCTTTTCTGTTCTTTTGAAAGATTTCCCTTATTGTATGGGAGTCACCTGGCCACTCCCTGCCAACACGGCTAAGCCATAAGGAGAAAGGCTATTTGTGTATGATTGCCCAGACAATGGGGACCCACTTGGTGGCTTTCCATTTACACGTTTAAGAAACATAAAGCATTCCCTACTCTCTATGTGTAATTTTACACACCAAAATGATACACGCACCAAAATAAGATAAACAGAACCAGCAGATTAAGACACGAAGATTGATGGGTTACATGAAATAATTTGCTCAAAGTGCCTTTGAATTTGGTATATTTATGTCCACATGTCATAAAGCATGGCGGGGGGTGGGGCATCACAGTACCCTAAGAAGGATAGAAATCTAGCTAGATGCTTGAGCTCAATGGTAATGTCCAGTTGGTAGCTGATATCTACCAGAATGTGCCAGGTTTGGTCCTGGGTCTGGTTTTATTGCACATTGTTATTAATGATCTGGATGATGGGGTAGTTTGCACCATCACCAAGTTCAAGCATGAAAGAGGCATAAGGATCTAGCACAAAAGGGTTTTTGTACAAAATGGACATGTCCACACTGCATGTTTTGGTGCAAAAACCTCTTGCGCAAAAACGGATCGGAATAGATTATGCAAATGAAGTGCAACAAAATGCTAATCCGCGCTTCATTTGCATTGCCTTTTCTGAAAAACCACGAGAGATACAGGGCTCCCTGAAAGATCGTGTCTGCTCTTCCACGAAAAAAATCAGAAGAGCAGACGTGTTCACTAGATGTGGCAGAGTTTTTCTGGGATACCAGAGATATCCCGGAAAAACTCTGCAGTGTAGACATAGCCCTAGTGTGGTTCGCTGTCCCATGGAGTGACACATAGCCCACTTACAGCGAGAGATAAGAACAAGGGAGCTCTACAGCTTAAGCTAAGAAGCAGATGGCTTTATAACTCAAGCTGTAGAGACTCCTCCATTAAACGCCAAAAGGCCCAGGTTTGAATCTGCCTGCAGGTGGTTGCATAGGAGTTAGATTCAGTGCTCCTGGGGGATAATTCCTAAGTTATCAGCCAAAGAAAAGGAGAGTTTTCAAATGTTCTGTAGCATGTGGAATCAGGGTTAAAATTGCCATCTCCAAACCGGAAATGGCAGGTTTGCAGGGAGAAAATGGGGGGAGGGGCAGCAAATGAAAGTTGTGCTTCAGTGGCAAAGGGGTGGAGCACCAGGCATGCAGCTAACAGCAGTTAGAAAGATGGTGCCTTTTTGCATAGAACTTGGTCTGAGATCTGGGGCAAACACTTTAGATCCATTTATGTGTAAAGACCCGGAGCAGCCTGTTCCGGATCTGTTTGGTCCTCACTCCATAGATGAGGGGGTTTAGCATGGGAGGCACCAGGAGATACAAGTTGGCAAAGAGAATGTGGAAATGCAGGGGCACATTCTGGCCAAAACGCTGAGTGAAGAAAGAGAAGAGACCTGGGATATAAAAGGCTAAGATGACACAGAAGTGGGAGCCGCAGGTCCCAAAAGTCTTGAGCCGGGTGTCCTTTGTGGGCAGACTGAAGATGGTCCTGAGGATCTGAGTATAGGACACAGAGATAAAAAACACATCCAGACTGATCACACAGAATGTCACAAAGAGGCCGTAGTAACTACTGACACGGATGTCGGCGCAGGCCAGCTTGACCACGGCGATGTGCTCGCAGTAGGTATGGGCGATGATGTTGCTTCTGCAATATGGCCACTGTCTTGCCACGAAGGGGTAGGGAAATACAAGGAGGCTGCTGCGTAGCAACACGGCCAGGCCGATTTTGGTGACCACTTGGTTGGTGAGGATGGTGGAATGTCTCAGGGGATCACAGATGGCCACGTAGCGATCCAAAGCCATGGCCACGAAGATCCCAGACTCCACTGCTAAGAAGGTGTGAATGAAGAACAGCTGGGTGAGGCAGGCACTGAAATCGATCTCCCTGGAACTGAACCAGAAAATGCTCAGGGTTTTAGGCAGGATGGACGTGGATAGAACCAGGTCAGTGACGGCCAGCATGCAGAGGAAATAGTACATGGGCTCGTGAAGGCTTGGCTCTGTCTTCACGATGAAGAGGATGGTGAAGTTCCCCAAGATGGCCATGGTGTACATAGTGCAGAAGGGGATGGAGATCCAGACATGGGCCGCCTCCAGGCCAGGAATTCCCAGCAGGATGAAGGTGGAGGGGTTGGTAAAATTGGATATGTTGGCGTCTGACATGGAGCAGAGGAGGCGTCCAACTCTGAGGTATAACACTCTCTCCTGCATATGTTGTGCATTCCCCTGACTTCCTTTATGTGCCCGGCTCTAGGGAGATGGTTGCAGTAGAAATGCCTAAATGGAGAGACAATGTGAATATGAAACACTAAATGAACAGCTGGAGGCTGTGAAGGAGATTGGTTGCTCTTCACACACCGAGAAATGGCATTTTCATTAGTCAGAGAAAAGAATTCTGAACAACGGGCCCTGCTGATGCCAATTCCATCTTTGGTGGTGTCCATGTGCCAGCGACTCCCACATATCATAGTGTGGGAATCCTTAACGGGCACCAAGAGGAAACATGGATGTGGATACTGGTTATCCCTTGATGTTCCTCAACGAAATGAAACCCAGGCTAGAGAGTCCATGCTGTAGGAAGTTCCCCATTCACCCAGTTGCTCACAATTGTTCAGACACCCAAGATATAGGCTGGAGAATAATGTGCTCTGGACGTGTGTTCTGTTTTGCTCACTCAGACTCTATAATGAATGGAGCAGATAGAAAAGGGATCTCTCTGAGACAGGATATGAGATTCCAGGAAGCTGCCACAAGTGGACAGAATGAAAAGTCTGTGAATGTTTAGTTTACAGAAGAGACAAATAAGGGAGTATACAATAGAGGAGAACAGGTTACATTAAAAAAAAAAAACGAAAAGAGAAGGGTACCGAACTGGAAATATCTTAAGACATCCAGTGCTTCAAAAGTCTAAATCGCCCTGAACTGAGGAAATAATCAGCAAAAATGACAGAGAAGAAAACTTTTGACAGAGAAATGTGAATGAAAATTGAGAATTCTCAGAGAGATTATTTAATAGTTAAAAACAACATTCCACTGTCAAGAAAGTGGACAACTTTGGCTAAAAACACAATTAGGTGTCAAAGTGTAGACAGCAGTTCTGGCAGGAAAGCAATACATAATGAATGGGAAAAAAATAAAAGATAGAGAGCGAGCAATACGAATTGAAAGTTATGAGAATTTATGGGGTACCCTAAAGATATCATTGAAAAATTCATGTTTGTCAATTCTAAGGATCACGTAAAGACAAGTATTAAATATATTAAGAGCAAAAGTAAATCTAGAAACAATTACGTGAATTTCTCAAACATAATGAATGGGAAAAAAATAAAAGATAGAGAGCGAGCAATACGAATTGGAAGTTATTAGAATTTATGGGGTACCCTAAAGATATCATTGAAAAATCCATGTTTGTCAATTCTAAGGATCACAAAAAGACAGGTCTTAAATATATTAAGAACAAAAGTAAATCTAAAAACAATTACGCAAATTTCTCAATAGGGAAAGGAAACAAATTAATGATTCAAAACATCTAGGTGTGTTCAAGAAATAGTTTTATTATTTATGTGGAAAGAAACCATGTGAAGCACTCGTATCATAGGCAGTAATGGAATGCTTTCCAGTCCATTGGAGGTGAAGAAGAGGGTTAAATAGCATTCATTTACAATCTTACAAAACAATCAGTAATGTCGTAGCACCTTAGAGACTAACGAAAATATATACATATATAGAGTCATGAGCTTTCATGGGCAAAACTCACTTATTTAGATGATTGGAGAAAAAAGGGGAAAAATCTCTATTTAAAGCAGAAAAAGAAGGGAGGGGGAGTACTGTCAGTAGTAGTGCCGGAGCTAAATGAGGCTAATTGAGTGGTCGGGAAGTGTTCCGTACTAAGCTTTTGATGTCATTTAGGTATTGAATATAATGGCCTAAAGATGGTCAGAGTGGTTACAATGAGGAAGGCAGGGCAGGAGTTCTGCTTTCCAGGAGTGGTCACGACTTATTCCAACAGCTGGTGGGATGGGTCCATGCAAACAAAATGCTTTTTTTGTGGTTACAATGAGGAAGGAGTTCTGCTTCCTAATATGGACAGAACTTCCTCCAGCAGTTCATGTCCTTATTCAGTCCCTGGGAGGTAAGAATGACTGTGTATTATTCTTACCTACATGCTTCTAGCTTCCATCCAGGACACATCACATGATCAGTTGTTTACCGCCAGGCCCTAAGATACAACCGGTGTTGCTCCAGTCGCACAGACAGAGACAAACACCTACAGGATCTCTATCAGGCATTCCTAAAACTTAAATACCCACCGGGGGAAGTGAAGAAACAGACTGACAGAGCCAGACGAGTATCCAAGCATCGGCTTCTTCAAGACAGGCCCAACGAACAAAATAACGGAACACCACTAATCAGCACCTACAGCCCGCAACTTAAACCCCTCAGCGCATCATTAACACTCTACAACCTATCCTGGAAAGCCATCCCTCACTCTCATCAACCTTGGGAGACAGGCCAATCCTCACCTACAGACAACCCCCAACCAGAAGCAAATTCTTCCCAGCAACCACACATCACACCTCAGACACACTCACATAGGAACACACCCCTGCAGTCAACCCCGCTGCCAACTCTATCCACAAAGCTTTACAAGTGACACCATCACAGGCCCTAACCACATCAGCTACAACATCAGAGGCTCATACAACTGCATATCCTTTAATGTGATATATGCCATCAATGCCCCTCGGTCATGGATATTGATCAAATTGGACAGTCTCCAAGACAAAGGTTAAATGGACACAAGCCAGACATCAGAAATGGTAATACACAAAAACCTGTTGGAGAACATTTTCACCTACTCCCTGGGCTCTCATTTAAAAGTTGCCATTCACACATACAGAATGGGAAGCGACTGTCTAGGAAGGAGTACACCAGAAAGGGATTTAGGGGTTATAGTGGACCACAAGCTGAATATGAGTCAGCAGTGTGATGCTGTTGCAAAAAAAGCAAACCTGATTCTGGGAGGCATTAACAGGTGTGTTGTGAGCAAGACACGAGAAGTCATTCTTCTGCTCTACTCTGTGCTGGTTAGGCCTCAGTTGGAGTATTGTGTCCAGTTCTGGGCACCGCATTTCAAGAAGGATGTGGAGAAATTGGAGGGTCCAGAGAAGAGCAACAAGAATGGTTAAAGGTCCAGAGAACATGACCAATGAAGGAAGGCTGAAAGAATTGGGTTTGTTTAGTTTAGAAAAGAGAAGACTGAGGGGGACATGACAGCCATTTTCAGGTATCTAAAAGGGTGTCATAAGGAAGAGGGAGAAAACTTGTTCATCTTGGCCTCTGGGGAGAGAACAAGAAGCAATGGGCTTAAACTGCAGCAAGGGAGGTTTAGGTTGGACATTGGGAAAAAGTTCCTAACTGTCAGGGTGGTTAAACACTGGAATAAATTGCCTAGGGAGGTGGTGGAATCCCCATCTCTGGAGATATTTAAGAGTAGGTTAGATAAATGTCTATCAGGGATGGTCTAACAGTATTTGGTTCTGCCATGAGAGCAGGGGACTGGACTCGATGACCTCCCGAGGTCCCTTCCAGTCCTAGTGTTCTATGATTCTTCTACAAAAGAATTTCAGGAACCAACCACAGAGAGAAACTGTGGAACTAGCCTTCAAATGCAAATTTGACACTATCTCTCAGGCATTGAACAAAGACATGAACTGGATGGGCCGTTACATTTAACACACAAATGACATCAAAAGCTACAAATGGTACATTTCCAGCCCACTCTATTAGCCTCATTCAACTCCAGCACTGACAGGTTTTTGTTTTTTTTCCTTCCCTCTTTCCTTTCTTCTTCTGCTTTAAATTGGGAGGGTTTTTTCCCCTTTTTTTCTCTACTCATCTAAGGAAGTAGGTTTTGCCCACGAAAGCTCCAGATACTATAAGGGATAATACGGCTCCCCCTCTGAGACCCTACAATCTTACAGTTACGAACAGCGGGGTTATGAACTGACCGACCAACCACACCACCCATTCGGAAGCATACGTATGAAATTAGGCAGCAGCACAGACAAAAACAATAAAAAAAGAGGGGAGTGGGAATACAGGACATCCCTGTTAAAGCCGTTGTCAAAGAGCCATTGTCAGGGAAGGGGTCGGTGTAGCGATCAGTTCTAGCTCTGATCCTAGTCGATATTTTTATGGATGTTCTAGAATGCAACAGAAAGTCACTGCACACGAAATGTGTGGATGGCCCAAAGATGGGAAGAGTGGTTACAGTGAGGAAGGCAGGGCAGGAATCCTGCTTCCCAGGAGTGGACATGACTTATTCCAACAGCTGGTGGGATGGGTCCATGCAAACAAAACACTTTAATGCAGCCAAATGTAAAGTGAGCCTCTGGGAACAGCCCCACAGCAGGGAAAGCGGAGACCCTGGAGAGAATTTAGCCGTCATCGTGGGCAAACGGCGCGTTGTGAGCTCCAGCGCCATGTTGTGGATGGAAGGTTCTGCTGGGATCCCTGGATGAATAAACAGCAGGGGAGTGAGTTGGAGCAGGGGAAGGATTTTACCGCTGCACCTTGCATTGGGGAGACCGACTGCAGCCAGCCCTGGGGTCCATGTTTCAAAACAGGGAGGTTTAAAAACAGGAGTGGGTGCAGAACACCCTTTATTCAGAGTCATCCACTGGGCCAAACTCATCCCTGCTGACCAGGGCCCTGGGACGTTTAATGGCCGTGCAGAGGGGAAGGGAGCAGGGACCGATTCTCTCACCCACCACTCCTACATTACATGAGAGCAGCACGACACGGGTACCTGTAAGTTTGGAGACAGACTTGTCCTCCCTGGGAATCCCCCTCCAGTAGCTGTACCTGTAAGTTTGGAGACAGACCTGTCCTCCCTGGGAATCCCCCTTTGGTAGCTGACTGTGACACCTCTCTCTGCTCAGCATCTGCAGGAGCCCACACTGATAGCTGACACAGGAGTCTGCACCGATTATAATATAGCTCCCTACAATCCCAGTGGGGTTTGCTCAGCCGCTAGGGGAGATGCTGGTATCTGAGTGTAAACATGCTGGGCACAAGACATCTGTACCCCTGTGTATTAGGAGTAAACAGTAATTACGGGGCCTTCCCGAAAGGAGGGGAGAACTCCTGGGGTTCGGGCTGAGTCA